CCCCCCCCCCCCCCTATCCCTTACAGCTTCGCCGCGTGAAGAGCACCGTGCACCTGACCGGCAAGCCCACCGACAAGACCAAGCAGCGCCTCACCGACCTCCTCGCCCATTCCAGCGCGCCTCCTCCCGTCGGAACCGGTTCCTCCTGCTCGGACCCGACCGACTTGGAGGCCGGCTTCGCGGCGGCGAGGTCACGGAACGACGACTTCGACGACGGCGCGTACGGTGCCGGGGGTGAGATGGAAGACCTCGGGGTGAGTAGCGCGGACCTGGAGTGGCCCGACAACGGAATCTCGACAGGTGGCCGACCGCGCGGAATGATATTGGCGGGGGGGAGGGATGCTGTGTTTTTTTTTTGTGTGTTTTTTTTCTCGCGAGCACGGCTTGGCCGCGTGCTGCGCCGCTGCATCTTGACGTCTTGCTCTTGGCGCCCTACGAGAAATAGCCTGGAGAAGCGCTTTTCCGTAAACGCTATGGGTGTCGTCACCTTTTCCCTTTTCGGCGATCGTCTCGAGCTTGGGGTTCCATTCCAATCCTTATCGTGGGACAGCCTGTTCCGTCAACAAAGAGAGAGAGAGCAGCGCCTTTTTCTTCGAAGGGTAAAGCAAGAACGCTGGGCTCGAAAAGCCGTCGGCAAGCTCGTCGCGATGAACGCTTAGATGGGCGATGAGGCGTGCGGAGGGGTGCTATCTGCTTGGCCGCTGACTTGTACCTCCCAGACGGAGCACCGATTTGTTTGTATTGTTGCCCCCTAGCTGAAGATAGGCAGGCGATTAATTGTTCAGTGTACAGTACCGTCGAGGACGAAAGAACATTGAGAGTACAGCAAGCATTCAGAGGACGAAAGTTAGTCGAGGACAAAGAATGACCTTCGTTCGCGTGACACCGGCTCTTCCGGTTACGTGTGCTCGGTGTTCCCCTCCGGCTCCGCGCAGGGCTGTTCGTCCAATCGTCGAAACCGCTCTTCCGCCGCCGGTGGCATAAGCGGCAACAGAAGCAGCAGCAGCAGCGGCGGCGGCGGCAAGCGATTGCGAAGAACACCCTTCGGAAATCCTATCTCTCTCAACTTCGGGAGGCCCGACATCGAGAAATTCCTTACGGAGATCATTCATGGCTCTTCAACATCTTCATCGCAGCTCGAGGAGTGGGCCGCAACCGGTGGCCCGCCTGGAAAAATCGTCGGCTCCGCCGCGGTAGGAGACTCATGGCAGCCGCAGCAGAGCTCGTCCAAACCGCGGGCATCGCCACCTCCGTCGACAGGGAGGCATGCCGAGAGCGAGCGGGAGTACTCAGAGACCTCGTCAAGGGTGCGGACGGTGCGTGCATCATATCTTCTGGCAGAGGCTCGTCGGGACTTACGGTTTGCGCTCTTCAGGGCTGCGAATCGTTCGTGTGCTTTTCTTCTTGCGTGTGTGTTGGGCAGGCTAGCTGGGTCTTTCTAATCGCGCTGCCCAGGCTTCTCTCGGCAAGAGTGTGAACTCGGGACGGCGTGCATGCGTGGTTCCAAAAAAACACGCGACACATAGCCACAACCGCGAAAGACATATTCCCTACCCCTTCGTGTGTTGTTCTCGTGCCCATTCGGATGAAGGATGTATGAAATGTTGTACAACCTGACCAGTCGTAGCACTTGCCCAATCTGCCCCCCCAATCGTTCGTGCGTGTTTGGTCGCGACCTTATTCGGCTGCAGGATGTAAGAAAGAAGGTGCTGGCCAGGCTTAACACAAACCAGCGGATCTCCAAGAGGGACCTTATGAGCGCCGACCTGTCGGTGGTCCCTGGAAAGGTGAAGGTTTGTCGTGCTTGCCCCCAACGAACTCGTCACCCCCCCCCCCCCCCCCCCCCCCCCCCCCCCCCCCCCCCCCCCCCCCCCCNNNCCCCCCCCCCCCCCCCCCTCTTCCCGTGGTTGGTTCTCGGGGCGCTGGCACGCGGCCCATATCTTCACGTTGTATGGAAACCCGTTCCTGATTCGTCTGCAGAGTATGGAATACAACGGCCGGAAATCGATGCTTTGGCTGGTTCGAATACCCGATAGAGAGCGACAACGATCTATGCACGTGTAGTTTGGGTGCGCCGTCCTCACCAACGGTGTTCCCAGGGTCCTCTACGCGATCATGATCGGCCGGGTGCGTCTGCCTACCGAATTGCTCTCCTAGCCCTGCGGTGCCCTTGGTGTTACACATCGGTTTCACGTGTTGCATCTCCATCTCTGTAAATGAACGCGTTCCCCGTGGTATGAAAATCGGTTTCACGTACGTACGTGCAGTGTGTGTACCTCTCTAGAGAGAGTTTCAGATCCGCGTTTTTCGTTTACGTCGTGCCGCCCCTCGCAAGAAGGCCTCCCCGCCGGGTGTTCCGCGGTCCGGCCGAGTTACCGCAGCGGCGTCCGACATGGGAAGCCCCGACGGTGTCAGCGGCGGCGTTGGCGGCGGGGGCGGCGGTGCCTCCGGCGCCGCTTGGGACCCGCGCACGTGGCTTGTCCTGTACTGCGGAGCGAACGCCAAGGTCGAGAAGGTAAGGCCAACCTCCGCGACAGTAAGTAGCCTCCATGGGGTTGTTGGGCTTTGTAGGGGTTACGATTGGAAAGGGGTAGGTAATGGTTTCAACCCCCCCCCCTCGCTGTTTATTTCACATGTAGTCGACTTGATGTCAGGGGGTCTCCGGAGCGTGGGATTAAGGCCGGGTCTCCCTCTGAGCCTTGTTTTTTTTTACGAAAATATGTTCGTACCCAATCTGAAAGCCTAGGGGTATGTAAGAAACGCGATGCTCGGCGGCGGACAGCTTTAACGCCGCGGGGTGTGTGTGGTTCCATGGGGAAGTTGATGAGCTATTCGGAGGAGGGCCAGCAGATCGATACGGGCTACGCTCATTAATGTTCCCTCCATCCTCTCGATAGCAAGTACCAACCACTACCTTCGGTACAATTTGCTTATAGGGTCATCCTTGCCTCGTCCATCGAGATTGCCTGGGGTCTTGGGCATGACACACAGTGCTCTTGCCCCGGCGCGGGGCCTCTACCTGCCGTTTACTCTGCTCGCCATGGCTCGACTTGTTCATGTCTCTGGTCGAATCGTCCAATCGCGAGTGGCCTGAGACGTGGGCCCTCCGTGAGAGTTGCAGATTTACTTCACGAGGGCCGCCTCCTTTTGACGTGTTCTCTATCCACGAGGTCTGGTGTTCCGCCGCAGATCTCTGGTGGTGGCGACAACAGAGCTGCGTTCTCTCATGAACGGGAAACCCGTGCCGTTTGATGAGAGGTGTGTGGGGCGATGCCACAAAGGGCTCTCAGGCACATGCAGCGGGGAGTCCGTCGGTTGAGGCTCTGCTGAATGGGAATGGAGTCAAAAATGACGACGCACGGGGAAACATGCGCGGCCATTGCGTCCAAAGCGCATCTACTCTCTCTCGTTGTCCGCGATACCATGTGGCAGCAAGGTGCATTTCCTACATGCAAGTAGTTCTTCCACCATTCACTACGGATTATGCGGTACAGAGTGTCTCGCCCCCCTTTTCTCACAAGCCGCGTGCCCTCCTCCCGTGTCGGTTCCTGCGCATGGGACCGCCTGCTGGCCGTGCTCGTGTGCACAGGCGGTAGAAACTGCCTGCGACGACCTTGGCGTTACCTGGAGGAAGGAGTACTTCAGCGCTTGGTGATTCCCTCCCTCCTGACGCTGTTCTTGCCGCACACGATGGATCATGTTGGCGTCTTCGAGGCCCCCTTAATAGTAGTCGCCTAGTCTTCCGGTGCACTCATATAACGCCACGTTTCTTGCCGAGTGCGTGTTTTTGTTGGCAACTTTTGAGAGTGAACACCCGTCTACAGTACAATATTTTATTGTCGCTTTGTCTTTTTCTTGGTGCACTGTTGGGGTGCATGTAGCACGCCTCTGGCTGTTTGTCGGTGAAGTGCTTGTTTTTGTGTCGTTGGCGGTGGCTGACTCGCGCGTCGTGCTGTTGGGGGGAACCCCGTGTTTTTGTTCGTTGGTGCTTGAGGAGGGGGTGTACTCATACTCATAGTCGTGCATGCCGTAGTCGTTAGACCATTGACCTCGCATCCCTACAAAGCCGGGACGGAGCACGCCGGGTTCTCAACGGACCAGGCTCTCACATCACCAAGCGCGAAGCGCCGTGGGACATTCGGCGAGTCGCATGAAGGGTGCGCTGCATCCTGCTAAGGGTGTTCGGCATCTTGTGCTTACTTCCTTGCGTACGGATGACAGCTGCGTATGACTTAATTTACTTTCTGGTGCTTTCACTTCCAGAGACAGTTGTAAGCACTGTGTAACTGCCTCGAGGGTGCTTGACCATTTTAACACAACGTGGTGCGATCATCCCCCTTGCGCGGAGCGAGGGTTCTCCACCCCGCACAACATGATCTACTCGACCACCATTATGGTTACTGCCAACAAAAAACAGCGGTGAAAAACAAATACGGTGACCTGGTCGCCGAGTTCACGAAGTGACTCGGCTTGTTTCACAACGTCGTTGCCAAGCGACGAAAACCCAATCCCGATGGCAAACACCGGGGGGGGGGGGGGGGGTGCTTGAGGAGGGGGCGGAGTTTTCTCTTTGATTGTAGCACACCATGTCGTACGTACCTTTGGTGCTGGATTTGGCCCTTAATTCCTCTCTTACTTTGCATGTTCTCGGAGGACGCGGAACGAAAAAGTGACTCCTCGAGAGTTTGGGCTCAGTTTGGCTCGGATTCTGTCGCCCCGCATGCTCGTGGTTCTTGGTGATGGGTCTGGTCATGAGTCCCACGTGTGTTTACGTCCTCCGGATCGGAAGGAGATCTTTCAAAGTAGTTCATCATGTGGGCAGACGCTGGCTCGTAGACCACGTTCAGTCAACGTCGTGTCATAGCTTTGTTCTCGTGGGGCTCAGAGATACATACGCAGCAACATATGCACACCACGAAAATATCGTTCGCTATTGCCACGTTATCCGAAAGGGGGTGCCCGATAAGCCCCACTTCAGGAAGCTTGGAGACGCGCTCATGTGTGGTGGTGCTGTTGAGTCAACCTGCGGAGAGTCGTGCACCCTGTGTGCGGCTGCGGACGGGACAAGATTCGCCGCTTGACGCGATGTTTTCTCAGAGTAGCATCACGACACCAATGCGGCCACGGTGTTGAAGATATTGCATGTGCGGTAAGAAAATCCTGCTGCAGGTTCCAGGCGTGCGATGGCAAATCCATGCCGTATGTGACGTTTGGAAAAATGTATGAATCTAGAATAGTCCGCGTGTCATGGCGCTAATTCTTACTACTGTCCTTGTAATAGCAAGACTCCTTGCAATCACAAGACCAGAGATGCTATGAAGCGCGCCAGCGAGCTTCTGGTCTCAACCAGTAACAGGCTAGTTTCGACGTTAGTTGCAACACCGGAGAGCGACAGAAGCGATGGCAGATGGGGTGCGAGGGCCGGGGGTACTCGGGGAGGTCATGATATTATTGGAGCACAGTAGAACACGTTGTTCTCTATATAATGGTGGCGGGGGGCGTCTATTGGCCAGTTTTTAATTCCCCCCATCCTTTTCGTTGGAATAAGTGTGGTATGTCTGCCTACCGCACATGCGTCGGTGACTTGTTTAGGGGTACTATTGTATCATGCGTGTGCTTTCGAAAGACAAGCAGCACGTTTTCAGCTGCGGAAAATTCGCTGCGGATTCCGCTCGCATAGCCATGGCGGCAGCCTGGCTCGAATTTGGTTCTTGCACGAGCCTCCAAGGGAGGGACGTACGGGACCCCTCCAATTGCTAGACCCCGCAGTAACAAGCACATGTGGTGCAAATGTGCAGCAACATATGCGGTATGTCTGCCTACTGCGCGCACGTTGACGAATTATTCAGTGGAGATATTTTATCATCTCTATACGCACGAAAGGCACTCTGCACGCTTTCGGCTGAGGATGTTTCACTGCGGATTCTGCATGCACGGCGATAGCGGTTAACCTAGCTCGAATTCGGTTTCTTGCAAGGGCCTCAAGAGCGGGGCGTACGGAACCCCTGCAATGGCTAGACACCACACTCGCAGGCAGACGTGGTGCGATAGTGTGGTCAAGTGACTTCATTCAGAGAGCACGACGCCTGCCATTCACTCGTGCCCCTTGAACGACTGTCAGAGTAACCACCGACCTCACACGGTTGTTCCGCAAGTCGAGAAATGCGCGGGATTACCCCTTCGAATCAATGACGACGCGATGGAACTTCCTTCGTAGGGTTACCATAAATTAAGAGCCGAGACGACCATCGGCCTTGCACTTGGCGGTGCGTTACTTCTGCAGCGAAAAGCTGCAAGAAGGGTCGTCGCAGCAGCACGGGTGTCCTAAGTTAATCCGTCTGTAACCGACCAAGTATATCGGCCAATGAGTGAATTTCGTCTGGATATTGTTCGTCCGTAACATCTTTCTTGGAATGCCACCTCGCACTTCTCGCCTGAGAGTCCAATACAGCACACCGCAGGTGTTGTGGACTTCACTTTTCAAGAATCATATACGGCCGCCCTGGTGGTCTAGTGGTATCCTCGAAACCGCTAGTCGCAGAGGTCGTGAGTTGGATTCCCGATGGGGTGAAAATTTTAAAATTTGGGGGTGAAAGCGAAATAATAGTCTATAGCTGAAAATGATTTCGTGAGTACCAAAATTCGACGTAAGCACCGTTGACGAGGGAAAGGGATAGCTGGACCCTTCTCACGACAAAAACAACCTTCAGCACGCACCCCAGGAGGAAGGTGGGGCACGAAAACATGCAAAAAAAAGAAAAAGGCCCTGGTGTTTACCCCCTCTGTGTGACCCTGGTTGCCCTCTCTGTGTGACCCTGGATGGTTGTACGAAAATGCATAGAGACCGCGAAAATGCTGTTGTATCGGCGGTCTTCAGTCCCCGCTGTTCCGCTGATCTAGCGATGTCCTTGTGAAGTCGATGCCTCCAGAATAAGAAGACGCGTCCCTATCTTCCGCATATTCTTCACACACCAGTTAGCATGCCATACATGTAGATATGTGCCGTGTCGAGGTGCCCTATACCGAAGGGTCGCCTGCAGGCCGTTAAGCCTGTGTGCAGTCGTCGAGACTGAAGTTGGTATCATTTCTGCCTCAGTGGGATTTCATTATTGCCTGCCGTTGGCACCAGAGCCTGGCTCAGTTGCAGAGTTGAGATGTTGAGGGACAATTGGGAGTGAACCCGGTGGGGCTCGTAACACCTCGTGATCTCGCTACAATTACAATCCTCTGATCAACCATCAATTCATTCGTGAGCTTCTCGCTAGAACTCGTCGCTACGTGGTACGTTCCACCAGACGTCATCCATCACACCGCACCTACGTATTTGCATATAGCACCACATCCCGTTCGAATGTGGGTATATCTCGAACGGGTAGCCTTTCTGTGGCTGTATTTATTCCAAATACAGCAATAATACACGGCATATTTTCTACTGCACACATGCTACAACAGTAATGCGCGGTATTTCAACAGTCTCGACCCACGTAGCCCCTGGACGAGCTTGAGCTTGCGTGCACCGCAGCCGCGGTACCGTCCGTAGCAGAGGAGAAAGAGCGAGAGCTTGGGAGGGGAGGGGGGAGGAGGAGGAGAAGGGGGAGGGTGGGGTGGGGGTGTGAGGGAGGACGAGGAGGGAGGGCGAAGAATGCGCTAGGGGCGAAAAAGCGCTCGAAGAAAAGACGGTCTAGTCTTGATGAGGCAGGAGATGGAGGGCCTGGGGGAGTGAGTAAGTAGCTGAACGCGCGGCAACTGCAATCAATGGACGGCTGTTGCACGTGGTGAAGGTGATGCCACCGCCGTACGCCCATCGGCAAACCCCTCTTCGGCATGTTGCCGGCTTGACAATGAGTATGCTTGGATTGATGACGTTTTGGCGCATGGTATTTATGCGTCTTTTGGTTCTGGTGTGTCGTGTGTGTTGTTTCCCCATATTCGCCCAAGGTCAAATGTTGCGGAGTTGTCGCAGAAGCATTGAGAATTTCGAAGTCACTTCTATCTCGAGGGGGGGGGGGTGTCCCCAAGCACTGTACCTAGATAGCTAGAAGTTCGTAGCCCATCACAGCTATTAAATACGAAGTAACAATCTTCCCGGCGCCGAATGTACATATCCCAAACCTCTCAAACAACTACCTGGTAAGGAGGTCCTTATGCACTTCTGCGTGCCGTAAACACCAGCACACGCAATCACACGCAATGGAGAGGGAGGAAGCCAACAAAGCCTCTACAAAAATGTACGACGAAAAAAAAAAAAACGTCCCCCTCCCCGGTCCGGTGAGAACCCGGCGTGCTCCGTCCCGGCTTGCAGGGATGCGAGGTCAATGGTCTAACGACTACGGCATGCACGACTATGAGTACAC